TAATGTTATTTCTAGTGTCGTGGTCTCTTCTGAATCCAGCTTGAATTTCTGTCAGTTCCTTGTAGATGTATTATTCCAGTCATTTTAAGATAATTTTCACCAAGATTGTCCTTGTATGTAATATTAATGCTATTGATTTGATAATTTTCATATTCTTTTGGATCACCTTTCTTGGCAATGAGAACAAATATGGCTCTTTTTCAGTGGATTGGCCACATTCAACATTTGTCATTGCCATTGTTATGTGCCGTCAAGTTGCTTGCTCTATCCTGTGCCAACTTTACTGTCTCTGACACACCTACACTTATTACCCCAGTCACTGAGTCAATCGATTTCATCGATGGTCTTCCTCTCTTTCTCTGTTCCTCCACCCTTCCAAGCATGATGTCCCTCTCCAAGGACCTGTCCCTCCTTGCAACATGCCCAAAGTATGTCAGACAAAGCCTCAGAAGCCTTGCCTCTAAGGAGCAGCCTGGTTCCACAATCTCCAGGATGAGTCTATTTGTTCTCCTGGCCGCCCATGGTATATCCAACACTGTTCTCCAGCACCACAGCTCAAAGGCATCAATTCTCCTTCTATCATTCAACATTTAGCCTGTTGAAATTTATTTTTCACAGAAGTACTCCCACTGGTATGTATGTATCAAAAGGAACTGGCAGACACAGAAGAATTTAATGAAATCACATATGAGCAAGAGCCTATGGTGATGAAGGAAGAAGTTCAAGCTGCTTTGAAGGAAATAGCAAAAAATAAGGCCCCAGGAATAGATGGTATACCAACTGATATATTTTGGCTAACAGATGCTGCCCTGGATGTGCTCACCAAATTGTGCCAAGAAATCTGGAGAACAACCACTTGGCCAACTGACTGGAAGAGATCTATATTTGTTTCCATCCCAAAGAAAGGTGACCGAACAGAGTGTGGAAACTATAGAACAATCTCATTGATTTCGCATGCAAGCAAGATTCTACAAAGATTATCCAAAAACAATTGGAACCACACATCAGCAGAGAATTGCCAGAAGTCCAGGCTGGGTTTAGAAGGGGTCGTGGTACTAGGGATATTGTAGCTGATGTTAGATGGATCTTAGCTGAAAGCAGGGAATACCAGAGGAATGTATATCTGTGTTTCACTGACTGTGCAAAGGCATTTGACTGTGTGGATCATAACAAACTGTGGCTGACTCTGAGAAGAATGGGAATCCCAGAACACTTGATCGTGCTAATGAGAAACCTATACTTGGACCAAGAGGCAGTCGTCAGAACAGAGCAAGGAAGCACTGCATGGTTCAAAACTGGGAAGTGCATACGCCAGGGATGTGTCCTATCTCCATACCTTTTTCAATCTGTATGCAGAAGAGATTATCCGAGAGGCTGGGCTCTATGAGAAGTGTGGCGTCAGGATTGGTGGAAGATCTATTAACAATCTGCGTTATGCAGATGACACAACCCTACTTGCTGAAACTGAGGAGGGCCTGAAATGCTTGCTGCAGAGGGTCAAGGACTGCAGCCTTCAGTATGGACTGAGGCTCAATGTCAAGAAGACAAGGATTCTCACCACTGGACCAATTAGCAGCATCAGGATGGATGGTGAAGAGATTGAGATTGTTAGCAACTTTAGTCTGCTTGGCTCCATGGTCAACACTCTTGGCACCAGTAGCCAGGAAATAAAAAAATGTATTGTGATGGGAAAGTCTGCTATTAGGGACCTCTTCAGGGTACTGAGGAGCAATGGTGTCACTCTGGAGACTAAGGTGCATTTGATACAGGCCATGGTCTTTGCAATCACTTGTTATGCATCAGAGAGTTGGACAATGACTAAGGAGGATAGAAGGAGAATTGATGCCTTTGAGCTGTGGTGCTGGAGAAGAGTATTGAATGCACCATGGACTGCCAAGAAAACAAACAGATTCATGCTGGAGAGGGCTAAACTGAGCTGCTCCTTGGAGCCAAGGATTCTGGGGCTTCGTCTGACATACTTTGGACATGTTGTAAGGAGAGAGAGATCCTTGGAGGAGGACATCATGCTTGGGGAGGGTGGAGGGACGGCACAGGAGAGGAAGACCCTCTATGAGGTGGATTGATTCAGTGACTGGGGTAATCGGGATGGGTGTGTCAGAGGCAGTGAGATTGGCAGAGGATAGAACAGAGTCTAGGGCTGTTGTACATAGGGTTGCTATGAGTCACAAGCAACTCGATGGCACCTAACAACAACAACAACAACTCCAACTGGCCAAGGTAATCTTGGTCTTGTATCTGTAACTTATTTATTTACTATGTTTAGCTTAAATTATTATTATCATCATGTTTTCTATCAGCTTTATATAAAGGGGAAAATTATTAAATAGGACAGGAAAAGAGCCTAGAGGCACACAACCAGCACCCTCCACCAAGTCTGGCACAGAGCTTAATAATATTAACCAGATAGAATTTCACATCCTACAGATCACTTCCATGTGGGCAGTAAAATACTTTGCTAAAATTATGCCTTCTGAAAAGAAAAGTCAAATCTAATCACATCTAAGATCTCCTGAAAAAACTTATTTGCTGAGTAATGAATGATAGCACAATTTGAGTCTTTTTTGCTTATCTAATCACCAAACCTACTGTACTCACATAAATTCTGACCCTCCACTGAGTTCCAAGACTGTTCTCTCTACAAGAGTAGACTGTCAGTCTTTCTTCCATGGAGGAACTGCTGGATTCAAAAGACTGACCATTTTGTTAGTAGTACAATGTATAATGTACTAGGCCACCAGAACGCCTTTATCTGACAATATAAAATACAAAAATACTGTTATCAGATAACATAAAATTTTAAAAAATGATAAAAATCCCATAGTTATGACTATACAAAAAGATCTTTTCAGGTCAATGGTAAAAGAAAAGACACGAAGTTAAATTGTCTTTTGAAAAGTGAAAAGAAAAAAACCAATGCCCCAACATGAAAGTTTGTTTAAGATGATTTTTCAATCTGTCCAGACTGCCAACCATGTCTGAGATCACTGAGCACAAAATTTTTGTTGGCATTGCCTGTGGGATCTGTGTGTGAGCAAGCCGATCTGTTTTCTTCAGACCTTCTGGGTTATGGAGCTTACTGCCTTGGAACTCACACAATGGCTCCCCAGAGAAAGGCGTACTGAACATTTTGCTTCCACATAAATGAACTCTTGTGATTGTTGTTGTGTACCATCGAGTCAACACCCACCCATAGTGGACCTTCCAGTGGATTTTCTGAAGCAGTTACTCACACTGGAGGAGACTAATTGCCCATACTTTTCTCAAGGAGCAGCTGGTGGATTCAAACCACATGCCTTCAGGATTAGAGCACAGCTTCTTGTCAGTGGGCCACCAGCAGAGTCAGTTTGAATTTTGGGTTAAATGTTAGGCTGATAACGGAAACGTCTGTTTCAGTTAGAATGATGGTTTGAATGCAACGGAAGCTGTGGGGACAATGTTAGAGCCAGAGTTGCTTTCTCTTCCTTTCTCAGAACAGCCACAGAAATGATTAAAACAAGCAACTGCAACTCTCCGTTAGGACTGCAAAACTACTCCTCCTCCCTTTCCCAGGAATAACTATGACCCCCAACCTGCTCCCCTATCTTGTAAGAAAGAGCTGTGTACTTCAACTCCCCAATTTCCTTGTAAGACAATATATATAAAGCTCCACTCTATATAGCTGTTAGTTTCCACTTTAGCGTCTGCCCCACAGTTTTTCAATAAACTTCCTTTCTTGGCTGAACTGGGTTCTGTCCTTTGTACCTTACAGAAAGGAAGAGGCAATGTGCTCCTAAAAAGATATACAGCATTGGAACTTATATGCGGCAATACAACTCTGTCATCTAGGGTCAGTGTGAGTGCAAATGGACAGAGTAGCACTGCCCCACCAGGATTCCAAGGCTGTAAATCTTTACTGAAGTAAGGGACCATATCTTTCTCCCTGTAGTTACTGGTCAGTTTGAACTCCTGACCTTTCAGGCAGAAGTCTAACACTTTAACTATTTAGCGACCAAGGTGCGTTCTAATCCATGAGACAATTCTACTATCCCATGGGGTCACTGCAGATTAAAAAAAAAACACCAAAAAACCAAAAAACAACAAATTCAACTGTTTAGCTCGCAACAGCAACAATTCCATTTCAAGAACACTTTCACCTGGTGAAAGACAGAAGTGAAGGAATTAATTGGGCTTTCAGAGTTTCCACTTACATTCCCTTTCATTCAGCCTCCTGGCGACTGCATGGTAGGTGTAGGCACAACCATTTTCTAGATAAAGAAATGGATAATCTGAGAAGTCTAAGACTGAAGTTACAAGGCTGGTCAAAAATGGAGCCAGAAGCCAGATCTTTACGTGGTTAAAACCTGTATACCAATGAAGGATTTTTTCTTTTACTTTTCAACGAGAAGAGCAAACTGGGGGGTATGCGTGGGCAGGGAGAAAAATGCAACAATGAATGAATGGAAATCCAAAATCTCTGTAAATGTTCCTTAAAATTAACAAAAGAAAATGTAAAAAAACAAAACAAAAAACCTCACCTACGTTGTGTGATCAGTTACAGCCAGGGAAAGAGATCAGGGACCTGAGACAACATCCAGATGATGCTCAACCCTGTGGGTCTCCGAGTTTGCAGGAGAAAGGCTGGTAGGGATTAGGGTGATGAGGAACCTTTTATGGGCGCTTGGGGACACTTTGGACCCCTCTAACCAGGAACTAAATAGCTCTGTGAGGCAGGGCTCAGGCCCAGCTCAGTTCTTGCACATGCGCAGTGGGTGGGAGGTGGGGTCGCACTGCTCGCTCCGGGTCTCTGGCTCGGCAATCCCCCCCCCGCCCCCTAGCGCACGCGCCTGCGCACTGAGCCTCCCGCCGGCCAGTCCTCCCGGAAGCGCAGTGCCGGCTTGCGCCACGTCAAACCTGTACATCCTTAGTCTCGGTTCCGCCGCTCCTGCTGGCAAGGGGCGCAGCGCCCGAGGTCCACGGCGGCGCAAGGACCAGGAAGGGCACATGATGGGCCGCGGAACTTCGAGCTCCGCCCCCCAGGTGCTCCTGCTGCTCCTGTTGCTGCTCTGGGCTGAGCGGCCGCGAGCAACCGAGCTCACCTTCGAGCTGCCGGACAGCGCCAAGCAGTGCTTCCACGAGGAGGTGGACGAGGGCGTCAAGTTCTCCTTGGACTATCAGGTGAGCCTCGGGTGCAGCGCACTCCTGCATTGGCGTCGGGTCTCGCCAGGGCACCTGCGCGTCCCTGCTTTATTGGGTAGAACTGCAGAAGGGCAGGGGGATCATCGGAGTCTTGCTGGCTTCTCTGTGAGAAAGAACTTTTTGGTAAGTGGGATCTCATCCGTGACGGACTGGGCCAGTTCGGGAAGTGGTCAGCTCGGCAGGTGTGTCTGTGCCTGAGATGCCCGGGGCTGAGCATCCTGGAGAGTTGGCTAGAATGACCATTCATTCTGCTCGAAAACACAAACGCAGTAACTAATCAGCTTCGCGCACACACAGTCAGACCCGTTTTATGGTCTGTCTAGTACGAACAAGGTATTGAGAAATGGCAATGAGAAGAATTGGGTTCAGTGTCTTTTTTTTCCTTTTGGCGTGTTTAAAGTCGAGTCTATGAGCTCAGCAATGGTGAAAATGGACACTTTAGGGGAGCTTCACCACTGCCCCAGAACCCTGACAATGTTTGAGAGGCGTGAGATATGTCTCCCTTGGCCAGGCTGTGGCCATACGGCTCCGAGAGAAGAGCTCAGCTCCTGCACTCCAGTCTCTTGAGAGTTATGGCTCACGGCCCTAGGTTCTATGTCTGGGGTGAGGGATCTGCCCTTAAGGTTTAGCCAGCAGGTCTAGGCTTGGAGACTGCGTGGCCATCACACCCAGTTACTGCCCCTTCCTAGGAGAGTGCAGCTTGAACGTGCAGTGCCCACTTAAAACCAGGAAGGCCCAAGCCAGATTTCCGCCCTCAGCCATCACCCTCAGAAGCCAGTCTGCAAACTGAGGACTGTCAAGTAATTGTCTGGCATTCTGAGAACATCAGCTGTGTGTCAGGCACTGCATTAAATACTTAACTCAGAGATCCCATTTAACCCTTATCACAACCGTATGAGTACTTTTTTTCAGCACTTTATTACAGATGATGACACACATTCCTTAGAAGTGAAGGAATTTGTCCAGGATCACAGAGCTAATGACTGACCATGCTGTAAAGAAGTAATATGCTCCATGCCTTGTATTGAGCATTCAACAAAACAAAAGACAAAAAGGCCAACTTACTTAACATCTTTCAGCCTTAGTTTCCTTCTTTGGTTTAGCTTCAGCTTTAGAAGGTGGTGTCGATTAAGTGGAAAAAAAAAAAAACTTTTAAAAATGTCATCATTTAGTAATTGGCATCCCACCTGCTAACAAGCACCCTGGGTGTCTTTTGTGGTTGTCAGGTCATCACCGGAGGCCACTACGATGTTGACTGCTACGTGGAAGACCCTTTGGGGAACACCATCTACAGGGAAACCAAGAAGCAGTATGACAGCTTCACACACCAGGCAGAGGTCAAGGGCGTCTATCAGTTCTGCTTCAGCAATGAGTTCTCCACCTTCTCTCATAAGACCGTCTATTTTGATTTCCAAGTGGGCGATGAGCCCCCTATCCTCCCAGACATGGGGAACAGGGTCACAGCTCTTACCCAGGTGAGTGGACATGAACAATGACAGCTCCTTGCAGACCCGGCTGAGCCTCTGATTCCTAGTTACTTTCTCCTCTTCTGTCACTGTCTGAGCAGTAAGCAACAGCATCCACTCATTCCTTGTGTCGAGTTCTAGATTGGCATTTTCATAGCCAGCCCAGTTGTTACATGTATTGAATTGGAACTGATTCATAGCTGACCCTCAGGGGTTTTCAGAGACAGTAAATCTCATGGGAGGAATTTGCCCGTTATTTCCCTCAGAGCAGCTGGTGGATTCACACGGTGCCTTTGGGTTGGCAGCATGACTCCTTACCCCGTCCTGGAGGACACTGTACTTTTGGTCTCTCCCCATTCTCCAACTAGATTCCTACAATGCTTTTATCTGGCCTTCCTACCTCTACTCCTTTGCTTCCATCAGGCTTTCATTCAGGACCACATTCTAAGTTCCTGTATCAGGTATCTGTGTGCTTATGATATAGCTGCATCATAAAGAGGAAGCTCTGGTGCCACAGTAGGATATAAGGAGTTGTGGTGCTAACATAGAGACCTTACCTCTGGTGGTTTGCATCCATCAACAGCATCTTGAAAGAAATACGGATAGTCTTACTTGGAAACCTGCTGAAGCGTCAGCTATGAGTTGCTTCCTTCTTCACGACCATATTGTTGTATACTGTTGAGTCAGTACTAACTCATAACTGACCCTCAAGAGGGTTTTTAGAGATAGTAGATCACATGGAGGAGATTTCCCATCTATCTTCCATGGAGTAGCTGGTGGATTTGAACCACCTGCCTTTGGCAGCACAACTCCTTACTAGTAAGCCACCAGAGTGATATCATGAAGACCTAAGTCTTGAGTGATTTTGTTGTGTTAATTAACATAAGCAGCTGCTATAACAAATACATTCCAAATACCAATGGTTTAACACAGTTGAAAAATCAGAATGTTTTTCCCCTTGCTCCAGTGGTAGTCTAGAGAAGGCTTGTGGGGTGCGAGTCAGGTATCCAGGTTTGCTTATGGCTTAGCGAATGCTTAGAGCTTCAGATTCCCCTGTCTCTAGCCACCAAATGATAGAAGCAGTGGGAGAGCCCCACCTGTCTCACAGTAGCCCTAGCTTAGAACCTTGTATCTTCTCATAGCATGTTGTTGAGAATGGGCTGTGGCCAATTGGGATGAAAGGAGAGCTGGGAAATAAAATCTTGATTGAACAGGGCTACAACTAGCCACAGCTCCACACTGGGAGAGAAATCATGAAATATTTGGAGGACCGACTTCTGTCATATTTGACCCTTCAACTTACTTATAAACTGATCCCGCCCCCTTCATCAGCCCTCTTTCCCACTATTTAAGCTACTCCCTCCTCCTCTGTACAGATTGTGAGCTTTGTAAGGCCTAACCTTTTGCTGGTGAGTTAATTGTGACTCAGAATGGCTCTGTAGGACAGAACTGGCTAGAGTATTTCCAAGGCTGTAATCTTGATGGAAGCAGACCACCACATCTTTATACCCTGGAGCTAGTGGATTTGAACTGCTGACAATTCAGTTATCAGCCAAGCATTTTGGCTACTTCACCACCAGGCTCCTTCCCCAAGGACTAAGATTTTTTTTTTTCCTTTGTGTTCCTAGCAGCATTCCTGTGCAGGAGGCGTGGCTCAGAATAGGAGCTCACCAAATATTTGTCAAGTGACTGAGAGCGTGGGGGCCCAGGGGAACCTGCAGGACAGGAATGGCCACCTGGGGCTGCTGTTCTTGTTCCAGAACTACAGCAAGGGTGTCTTAGGCTTAGGTGAGGCCACCTGACCTTCCAGGCCACCTTCCTGAGTGGCCACCTGTTTCCTTTCCCCAAGGGTCACGTTGCAGCAGTTGAAGAACAGAGCTGTGTAGGACAGAATGCTCGCCATTCTTAATTTTGCTGTTGTTGTTAGCTGTCCTTGAGTTGAGTCCCCAACCCATGGTTACCCCATGGTTATAGAGCAGAACTGTGGCTCATGGGGTTTTCTTAGCTCTAATCTTTAGTACAGTGTTTTTAGCTCTAATCTTTAGTACAATGTTTAAGCACCTGACAGCTAGCTGAAGGTTGGTGGTTTGAACTCACCAAGCAGCTACAAGGAAGAAAGACCAGCTGATTGCCACTGGGCTGGTTCTGACTCATCACAACCCTCCAGGGGAGAGTAGAACTGTCCTATCAGGTTTGAGGCTGTAAATCTTTAGAGCAGGCAACTGCCTCATTTCCCCCTCTGTAGTGACTGGTGGGTTTGAATGGCTGACCTTTTGGTTAGCAGTCAAATGCCTTAACCATTGTGCAACCAGAGTTCTTTGCTGTAAAGATTTAAGCTTAGGAAGCCCTGTGAGTCACTTCTACTCCACTCTATAGAATCTCTGTGAGTCAAAATTGACTTGATGCCACCTAACAGCAAGGATCTTCACGGAAGCAGTTCACCAGGCCTTTCTTGTGCAGAGCCACTGGGTAGGTTTGAACTATCAGCCTTTAGGTTGGCAGCCGATTACAAGCCAATTACACTACCCAGAATCTTTATTCTCAGCTTATGGCTTTCAGTGACATCTCCAGAATACTGAAAAGCAACGATGTCAGTCTGGAGACAAAGGTGGACCTGATTCAGGCCATGGTCTTCGGAATTACGTGCTATACATCAGAAAGCTGGACAATGACTAGGGATAATAGAAGGAGAATTGATGTCTTTGAGCTGTAGTGCTAGAGAAGAGTATTGGACATATCATAAATATTGAATATTTAATATACCATGGACTGTGAGGAGAAAAACAGGTTCGTCCTGAAGAGGGTGCAACCAGGCTACTCCTTGGAAGCAAGGATTCTGAATTTTTGTCTGACATACTTTGGACATGTTGCAAGGAGGGACCAGACCTTGGAAAGGGACGTCATGCTTGGGAGGGTGGAGGGACAGCGCAGGAGAGGGAGACCCTCAATGAGATGGATTGATTCAGTGACTAGGGTAAAGGGGGTAGGTGTGTCAGAGACAATATGGTGGCTCAAGGTAGAGTAGGGTTCATAGCTGTTGTACATAGGGTCACTATGAGTCTCAGGCGACTTGACAGCATATAACAACAACAACATAGCTGTTTAAATTGTTGACCCTCCTCCAGTAGGTTTTCAGAGACAGTTAATTGCATGGGAGGGGATTACCCATTCTTCTCCTGTGGAGCAACTGGTGGCCTCAAACCGCATGTTTTTGGGATTACAGCACACTAATATTATATAAAACATTTGCTTTCTCATGTGCACTAGTAGTAAGTAGCCTTTTAACTAGGCAGTAGCCACAGCTGGATAGTGGGTAGTGGCCATGCAAGTATAGAACATTTGCATTATCCTAATACATTCTACTGAGCAACACTGGGTTTGAACTTGACTTTTGAGCTTGACAGTGTGAGTGCCATTAAAAGATCCAGCCCAGGGAATGCATTGTTTGTGAGATCTTTCATAACTGAAACGCTTGATTGCTCTGTTGGCCACTGATGAAACAGCCTCTGTTTTGAAGATTTTGTAAATCTCCAGAAACTAACTTGGAGGACTTCCTTCTCTTACCATTGGCAAACAAACTACTGGAGAAAAGACTTCATGAATTAGAGCAATGGAAAAAATCTGTCTGGAACT